CCCCAAAACCCCAAAACCCCAAAACCCCAAAACCCCATCATTAGATAATCTAATCTCTAAAATGGAGTAATTGTAAAACTTCTATTAAAATATATTAAACTAACTAGTGTGATAAATCATCACCTACACAAATATAATTTTTTCAGCATCTGTTATGTCTATTGCAAAAGAAAAGCATATGGTCTCCTTTTCAGGATAGAATATATACCAGGAAAAAAAATCTAAGATTCTTAAAGTACTTAATCATAAAGAGCCGCAATACCCTCCTAACATTTATTATATCTGAAGGAACCCACACATGATTGAGAGATACATAGATGAGAGTGAGTATCAAAAGCTGCTACAAAAGACAGAAAATCCTCAATATAGATAGAACATTACCTATTTTAAACCTACTACAGAAGATCTGCAGGCCAGTATTGAGCGCTAGCAGGAAGAAGAGCGGAAAAAATTTATGTTAGCCAAACTTAATAAGAGTTTCGATTACGCCACCAAGAGAAAAAAAGCAATATATTTTAATTCACAAACAAATGCTCAATCTAAAGCAATTCTTCCCTTAAACTAAGATTTGGAATTAGACCAAGCAATCATAAATCTCAAGAATACAATGTAAAAAAAGAAAAATTTAAAACTTCAATATGATAGTATTGAAGATTAAACTAGGATATATAAGAGTATATATAACTATTAGACTCCTTAAAATCATAATTTGTACAAATAGTAGAATCCAGATCTCCTCAGCAATCAAAGAAGTATTATAAGGAAATTATTCGAAAAGAATAATTACAAGAAGATTACAGATGAGGCAGAAAAACCGATTTCTATAAGCAATTTTACAAAGCATATTGAATTAAGGACTAATATTCTGGATTTCAGCGATATAGGTAAAGAGTTAGATACTAAGAGATTTGCTCGAAACAAAAATTAGAGTTATTAAACATAGTAGCAAACAAGCAATAGATCCTCGAGTAATATAAACTAAAGCAATCATAATCTAAGATATAATGAAAATCACTATAGTAGAATGCAAAACTCCAAATCCTTTGATTTAAGGTAAAATAAATCTCAAGTTGATATTGAAAATTTGAACTCAAAAAGCAGAGTTTAGCTAGGATGGCAACAAAAAAGTGAAATAAATTTGCCTTAACTAAAATAAAATTCATAATCAGTTTTGGAAGTGCAAAGGATAATTGATACTGAAGCTTTGGCAAGAAAATACATTAAAAAAAGATTACCTAAAATTTTGATTACAGATTCTATTACTAGATGTTTTAACAGAGGAGTAGATGAATCAACACAAACAGATAGTATCAAATTACATTGAGATCAATTTAAATCAGCAGCTACAATCTATTTTGGCCAAATAGCTTGGCCAAGCATGTTTGTACGATTTAAAACAATTTAAAGTAAATATTATCAAAGTAAATATTCAATCATATATTATTAAACTTAATTATAATTCCATGTTTCAGTTCCTTTATCTCTTTACTTTTCTTTTGATCCTATATATTGGATACATGCATGTGTATCCATTTGCTAGGAAATATTAGACTTATCGTCATGAGAGGGAATAAATGGTTAAGAAATATAATCGAATCTGGCGTTCTAGAAAAGACATGCTAGTAATTTCTTATTTTAGTTACTAATTTATCTTAGATTCATTTTGATTGGGCGATATCTAGAGGCGACCCACCAAAAGATGTCGATTCAATGGGCAGAGAAATAGAAAGAATGGATAATGAAATGAAAAGACTATAATAAGAGATTGAAGAGCTTGATAGAAATAGATTCGGAGTACTTCCTATGAAATCTGTCAAAACCCATAAAATGTGAAATTATCTGGACATTAAATTAATAAGTTTAATTATAAATTAAGTTTTAATTAAAAAAAACAGGGAAACTTTTCCAACTTTTAACGTTTTCACTTCACTTTTACCTACTTAAAATATGCATAGTACTTAACCTTGATTTTAAAAATTTGGTTGTTAGAATACAGATTAATCAGTAAGAAAGGAGAGGGTACATTTTCAGAGGTCCTTGAAGCCTTGAGTATCAAAACAAAGAAGAAAGTCGCAATCAAATGTATGAAGAGTCATTTCGATTCTATTGATCAAGTATGAGAAATATATTATTTTAGCAATTCAATAAATAGTATATAGGTTAACAATTTGAGAGAGATATAGGCTCTAAGAAGATTAAGTCCACACCCCTAAATTATCAATCTATACGAAGTTTTATAGTAAATAGAAAGCTTGGAATAATTGCTTTTTTAGCGATGAGCCGACTGGAAGATTGGCATTGGTATTTGAGTTAATGGATATGAATATGTATGATGCCATTAAAGGTATTGATAATATCTCTAAGTAATGACTACATACAGGGAGAAGACAGTATTTACCCGAGGGCAGAGTAAAATTCTACATGTATTAGTTACTAAAATCGATAGACCACATGCACAGAAATGGCATTTTTCACAGAGATATAAAACCGTAACTTATCAATATATTTTATAAGTAAACTTTTAGTGAGAATATACTATTACAGGATGATAAGGTTAAATTAGCTGATTTTGGTTCATGCAGAGGAATATATTCAAAACAACCCTACACTGAATACATATCAACAAGATGGTATAGAGCTCCAGAATGCTTACTAACTGATGGATATTACGGGTATAAGATGGACTTATGGGGTGTAGGATGTGTTATTTTTGAAGTGTTGTGCTTATTTCCTTTATTTCCTGGAAACGATGAGCATGACTAGGTGATAAGAATACATAATATAATGGGTTCTCCACCTAAGGAGCTTCTAGATAAATTTCAAAAATATGCATCTCACATGGAATTCGATTTCCCTAGTGTGCCTGAGGGTACTGGATTGCAAAAGCTAATGACTCATGTGAGTCCAGAGGCCTAAGATTTAGTCATTAAAATGCTAACCTATAACCCTGATAACAGAATTACTGCGAGTTAGGCTGTTAAGCATCCATGGTTTAAAGATCTAAGAGATTAAGAAAAGGCATCTAACCCACAGATCGATGGAAATTTGTAATATTTTTGAAAATAGTAACTCCATATTTAGAACAAGATAATCAATTAAATAGAAAAACTTCGGTGATTCAATTTCTTAATAAAGTAAGCATAGTGATGATGTTTCTGGTGCAGGAGATTATGATTTAAAAAAAGCAGCACAAGCAAGAGGTGATAAATTCTTAAAAACTTAAAAGTAGCTACCAGATTTAAAAAAAGGCTCAGTCGATCCATTAGTTAAAAATCAAACTTTTCTCTCAGAATCTGACGATTCTAGTCTTGTAAATATTCAATAGTATAAACTTTTTAGAGATAATTACCAATGATAAAAGGAAATTCAAGCAATCAAGTGAATCAAATCTAGGATGCTTATGTCAGTAAATTTGGAAATAAAACACTTAAGAATGGCTCTTTCAACTAAACTAAATACATCTCAAATATGAATGGGTCACAATCTCCTTCTTAAACATTCTATAAAGGTAAATTAATAAACTCTAATCATAAGATGCTGTAGCAATGGAGACTACGGAAAAGAAGTAAAATTCTTCATTTATTGGAACCAAGAAAATTGTCCCTTCTTATAAAAGTTAGAAAAAGTCATATGTAAGCCCTTATAATTAGAAAATGAAGCAGTGACAAATAGCAGAGAATAAAAGTTGATGATCTAAATAAAATATTAAATTTTCTATTTCAATCATAATATAGTTACTAATCTTATTGTATTTTAAAGATTTGGGGTTTTGGGGTTTTGGGGTTTTGGGG